GATTTATTCCATTGTGATGAATACACCAGTAATAGTAGTGAAGACGAAGAAATTGTAAATATTGGGAGGAGAAGTAAAAGGAATCAATTAAATCTATTGAAGTTACGAGAAACTGAGTCAGTAAAATTGATTTTTTATTGAAGGCTCCAGAGCGTTCAACTCCAGAGCAAAGTTCAACTCCAAACGAGCCTCGCATATAATATTATTTTGCTTCGGTAATAATATTAAAATTTAATATTCGTGTGGAAAAGAAATCCTAGTGTGGCACGTGATTAAGTTCATTTTATTCAAATTAATTTTCTTAAAAAATTCTTTAAAATATTTTTTAACAATTAAACTTGAATTTCAACAATGTACTATATTTTATACTAGAAGCAAAAGATTGTGTCGTTATTTAATAATTTTCACCAAATTTTATAAATGAGGTTTTAAATATACAATTTTACAATATTGTTCCTATATTATTATTGTTAATAAGACGGGAGGATATCTTTGCTATTAAAACATTTACAATGTTCGCAAAGAAATATGATATTCGAATTTAAAAAACATATAATTGAAAGGGATTCCTCTGACTCTAAATGAACAATACAATGAGTTTGAAAATCACGACTTTTTAAATAAAAACCAAAAAGAACAAAAAACGAAAGCGTATATTGCTGACAATATTAACACGGAAAATTAATTGGTGCTTAAATGAAGAGTTGCATAAAATGAAGACGTTTCCATTTTATATAGAGAAAATTAAATTTCGTTGCAACAATCTGTTGAAGAAGTTGAATTGACTGTGTAATATATGTAGTGAAATTCAATTTACCCCACACTTTTTTAAATAATTTTTATGTAAAATTTTATCATATTTTTGTTTTTCTTTTCGCTCTAATCTTCACCTTGAACTTAAGATTTATGCGATGAGCTTTACAAAATATTAAACGTGAAACTACAGTGTATAAGAATATATATTTTAAATATACTTGTACATTATACAATATAATTTATAGAAAATTTTTATAAATTTTAAAATTCAATAGTGCGTATTTTGAGTTGTACAAAATTTGTTGTCCTAAAGAGAGCGAATCTTCACATTATTGGCATCGTTAAGTTTTAGTGAAAGTGTTGTGTCATTTTTAATAGTTCAAAATAATAGTTGTTTGCATACACTATTTTAATAGTTTAGCTAAGAAATACTGACTATATACCAAAACATGTGATATTACCGTCATATTTTATCAATATATTTATAAAAAAAAATTACTACAAATATGCATATTTGGTAATAATTACTATAAATCAGGTATCTTGCTCCAAAAATTCCTATACATATATTATATTACATAATATAATATATGTATATACAGAGTGATTCTGAAAGTTATACAACAACACATACCATTGGTTAGAAGATTGAAAGTGGGTAAAACTTTTGTTGCGGACTGGGTGGAAAATCTCAAGAGTTTCCAAGTTCTAGGGATTTTAACGAATTTTCACGAAATATTTACTTAACCAGGATTTGTTGATTATAATTTCGGTGCTGAAAAAGATAGGAATTTCACACAAACAGTTTCAGAAAGTCTTAGCAAAAGGCTTAAAATAGACATGCTGCTTGATTCTATATTTTTTGTACCTTCGGAATACCAAGCATTCGAACTTTAAATTCCTTGATTTTTTCAGTTTTTTCTGGCTAGATAATGTTTTTATTGAAATGTAACAAGTAATAATAAAATTGAAACGAAATTTTATACAAACTTTTTAATTGAAAAACAAAAATTGAATTTAAAAAATTTGAAATTTTTGAAAAGAAAAACTAGAATTTTCTATTAGGAAAAACAAAAAAAAATCTAGTAATCAAAAAATTTTTTTCGAAACTTTTCTTGGTAAAGAAAATTGATAGGTTTTTAATTTTTGCCAATTTTTATAAGAAATGGTACCTATATGGTTTGAAATTTTTAAGTGGATATTTCTCAGATTGGGTGCAATTTAAAAATTTCAAAAAATAATTTTCAGAATCTAGACACCATTTGGCATCTGAAATTATTAAAATTATCCGGCTGGAGCGATTTTTTAAAGGCTTGCCATATAAATTTTGACATTTATTAATTGAAAAAAAAATTTTTTAATAGGAAAATTTAATATTTTTGAACAAAATGGAGTTTGTAAATGATATGATGGTATTAAAATTATGACGCTAATAAACAATTAATTAATAATTTAAGGGAATTAACAACAATTGATTGGTGTACGGTTGATGCAACTAAAGAGGAATTCCAGCAAAGCAATTAATTTGAAATTGCGATTGAATAGAAATAGATTTGAAAGAAGAAAAACATAAATTTTTTGCCGAAATAGGTGAATGTCATTTTGGTGTTTGTTTTGAGAAATTTGTAAAATTTTTAGATAAAGGAATATTAAATTGAATTTAATTTTAGTTCTATCAACATCTGGTTTGATTTTAGTTGGATTTGCGGCTCAAAATATATGTGGTTTTTGTGCTACTCCTGTACCATAAAAAATTCTTAAATGCTTGACGACTTAAATTAAAGCTTAAACGGCTGGACAAAATTCTATAAAAAAAATGTTCAAGGTTTTAAAAAAATTTCTTTCGAAATTATCTAGTTAGAATAAACTGAAAAAATAAAACAAGGGAAAAATTTGATTTTCCCTAAAGTTCGAGTGCTTAGTATTCTGAAGGTACATAAAATACAGAATCAAGCAGTATATCTATTTTAAGCCTTTTACTAGACCTTTCAGAAACTGTTTGTTTGAAGTTCCTAACTTTTTCAGAATGGAAGTTATAATCCAAAAACCTTGAATAAGTAAAAATTTCGTGAAAATTCGTTAAAATCCCTGGAACTCGGAAACCCTTGAGATTTGGCACCCAGTTTGGAACAAATGTTTTACTTATTTTCGATCTTCTACCAATGGTATATATTTTGTTGTATAACTTTCAGAACCACCCGGTATATTGCTTATAAGAATTGCTATTTAATCCGAGTTTTAAATAAATTGTTCATATCTAGATGAATAAAGACTTCTGGAGATATCAAAGAATTATTCATGAAAATTTTAAAATCTCAAAATATTTTGATAGTATATCCTACTATTTTTCTTGATATTTCCTAATCTGTTAAAATGATCTGTTATTCGTTCTAAAAATCTTAATAAATTCTTAAAATTACTAAGCAATAATTGAAAGTTTATTTATGTAGAGCCGAAAGCCAGCTTATAAGTAATAAATAAAAAAATATATTTGCTTTTTATTAAATAATTAACTCTACTTGAATTCCCGTTTTGTTGAACAAAGAGCATGTTAAAAATGCTTCTTAAGTTATACAAAACTTTAAAAAATGAGCAAGTGATTTCATAGTGAACTTATTTTATATACTCGTACATAAAACAAATAATAAACTTTTCTTTATTCTTCTGCAAACGTTTCCCACTTGAGTAATTAGATTTAAGCTATAACTGTTCTAAGATCTTGTAAGTATCTTGCAAGTACTAAAATCACTTTTATTGTCACCATTCTTTAAACGAACGTGTAGCTCAACTGAGTGAAGCGTCGCGAAGATATTCTGCGCATCTTATTTTCTCTAATTTCGCATTAAATTAATACCTAGTTCTTAATGAGATTTTTGAAATATTGAACGTATTTACAAACTTTTATAATGGGTTTAATTTATTTTTTCTGTAATTATGCTCTTTTAATTTAAATTTTTAATTTTCAAAATATTTTCAAATCGATTGTATTCTTATTATACTCGCACACATTTTCTTTAATTCGTTTTCTCACTTTTACATAATCATTTCTCATAATTAACCAAGAAGAAACAAATTAAAAAAAAAACCAAAGTGAAAAATTTAATTGTAATTTTTATTTAAAATAACTTCATCACACAATGATAAAATAAGATGAAATTGTCAAAATTTTAACCTACTATTTTAGGTTATGTTGACTTAAAAGCGCACGCCTCTTATGTCACCTTCTTAAATCATTTTCATATTTTAAAACGGTTGCATTTCTTTTGGTAATTCTCTATTGCTTACTTTTCACTTCGATTGTATTATTTATCTTTAGTAAAGTTTTAATCGTTTAACATGAATGAAATGTTAAATGTAAAATCTATGTATTCATTTACGCTTACATAAACTTTTAAAATTTTTATTCAAAAACCCAAGAAAGCAGTAATCGTAATATATTAAATAATAGTTAAGATTTCCAAAAATTGTACACTATACATAAGATATCAAAAATTTTAACAAGTAATATAAAAAATATTTAATTTAAATTTCACATTATCCCACATTATACTTTATGCACTCGTATACCTTATTGTTTTCACTTGCAAAATATTAGTGCATAATCAGAACTTTTATAATGTTACTTAATGGAGGTATTCGTTGGCCATGAATTCAGTTTCAAAATTAAGGTAAATGTGTGTAGCATATATGTAACTTAAATTTTTTTCATTAAACGTTTGTTTTTCTCTTCCATTTTACAAGATGTGTAGCTCGCACATATTTTGTGCATGAGATTTCAATTATCTTCTCTTCTAGGATTGATTTTTAAAAGTAAGAAACTATAATATCTCTATAAAAACGATAATATCTCTATAAGAAACTATAATACCATACAGATTATTGAAATTTGAAATTAAAGTAAACATAAAAATTATTTCTAAAACGTTAATCAAAAGTATATGAGAATAGTATGCTTAAGGGCAAAACGCAAAAAAATCAAAATTCAAATACCACTTTCAACAAAAATAGAATGGAAATGAAAAACTGATATTTAATTTTCTAAGAATTGAAAATTTTAGTAGATAATTAGTTTGCGGTATTATAGAGTTAGTTTGAATGCTACGAAGCGCCCAATATTAACATATTTGCACAATGTAGAAGCAACTCTTTTCTGACATTACAATATTATTGTTTTAAATTTAAAAATTAAAATTAATTTTTCGGGAAATTTGAAAATTATAGCGCTTCTTTTATTTTTTTTTTAGCAACCAAGACGAACTCCAGCACATAAATTAGCACAACAGACTGGTGCCGCTCATTATGAAGAACGTTATGAAAAAGTTTTACCAACCAATAGAAGATCACATCGTTTACGTAAACGAGCATCAGATGAAGATGTTGATTATGAGGTTTATCAAGGTGTTGTTGGCCGCCCAGGAATTGATTTTCCAATTTTACCTAGAATACCACAAACAACTTTCAGTTGTCGTACATTTGGTAATGGTTATTTTGCTGATCTAGAAACTGACTGTCAGGTAAAATTAATTATTTTTAGACAGAGAACTTAAGATTTAATAAAATTTGAAATTATTTTCCATGAAATAACTTCTTAGGTATTCCATATTTGTGAAGAAGGGCGAAAAATATCATTTCTTTGCCCAAATGGTACAATTTTCCAGCAATCAGAATTAACTTGTGATTGGTGGTTCAAAGTTAATTGTGCAAGTTCACCAGGTCACTATGCCGAAAGCTCAGAAATGTTAATCAGAGCCCAAAATCGAAATAAACAAAAAAATCCACAAACAAAAAATGAATTTTATTCATCTGAAAGTGATTATTCACGCGAGAGAGTTAATCATAAAAATTCATATCCAGTTAAATCATCTAAGGGTAATAATGGGCGTAGAAGAAATCAAAATTCTAATAGCAATTCAAAACGATTTGAATCTGAAGAAATTCCATCGGTTGAAAGTGTTGATTTTGAAGATATATCCAGTAACAGTGCGTCACAAGAACAGGGAAGTCACCAATATGGCAACACAGGTAGTGGAAGTGCTTCATATGAACGTAAACCAAAGAATAACAATAGTGAAAGAAAAGCAACCGAACGTAGAAGAGTATCTGAAAATCGTAATGATAAAATTGTATCTAGGTATGACTCTAGTGACGAAATGCAAGAACCTGCTGAATCGACTTTCTTTGGAAGCGGAAATAGAAATAATGCTAACAGTAACAGCCATCATAATGATGTTAAAGACAACGGATACATTTATGGAAAACCAAATGACAACGGTTACATCTATGACAATCCCAATAAAACAAGGAAACAAAATGATCGGGAAGGTAAACAACGAAGTGGTAATGGAAGAAATCAAAACAAATATGAAAGTGACAATAAAAGAACATCCAAAAATAGAGCAACAACTCCGACTCCTTCAGAAAAAAATAGATTTACGTCAAAAACAACTAACCGCCAACCCGAACCTGTAAAGCAGAAGCAAGAAAAAGCTTTTGTGGCATCTAACTCAGTAATTAATAAATCAGATAAGAGAACAACAACTCCAACACCTAATAATCTAGTAAAAGATATTTCGTATAGAAATTCTGAAACTGGAAAAATTGAAACTACGAAACAGACCCCATTTTATACACCCACTATTCCAGCAATCGTGAGTAAATCAACAACAAAAAGTTATAACCAGAAATCAAATAAAGTTACCACTGAAAAATATTCTTTTACTGCAACAACCACAAGGAAACCTCCAGGTAATGTTAAAATGGAATTGATCTCACCACAAAACAAAAAATAATTTTTTCTTTTATCATTTTAGTAAGTTATAACGTATTTAATTTACCATCGAAAACCACAACCGATCAACCGTTTTCAACTGAAATAAACACGGAATATACTAGCACTCCTCGTAACAATTTAGTAATCGGATTACGCAATACACATAAAACTGATCCTTCAACAGTTAATCAAGTTTTTACAGATAGTAATAAATCTGGCCAAAGAAATAGCAAGGGCAGAGTTTTTACAACTACCGAATACCCTGAAGCTACCACTTTCTATGGCCCACGTTCTAATTTACAAAAATTCACGACAACAACTGAAGATATTTCAAAAGAATCCTCAACTTCCGGGCCAACTTATTTACCAAGAGAAATAACAACGTTCCGTCCATCACCTTCTAGCACAACATATTTCCCAACAACAACACGTCGACCATCTTCTGCCGGACCAACATATTTACCAAAACAAACTACGACACCTCGAGTTTCTACAAAAGGTGCTACATATTTACCAACCATTTCGTACACAACATCGACAAATGGCCCAACCTATTTACCAAAAGAGACCACAACTTTCCGAACATCATCAGCTGGTCCAACCTATTTACCAAAAGAAAAAGTTACCACATATCGTCCTTTATCATCATCATCAGGTCCTACGTATTTACCAACAACAACTTTAAGGCCTTCAACTAACGGTGCTACTTATTTACCAACTCCAGCAAGTAAAATTGATGATTCCGTTTCTGATCATGTTAAAGATATGATTCGTACCCTAAATGAACTGAAAAATGATTTGAATGTTGATACTAAGGCACTTAATGAAGATGCAAATAAATATTTAGACAAACCACCACGCCCTGGATTAGAAATTCCTCCATCTTCTGGGCCGGAAACTTTAGTTTCCCTAGCAAGCTATTTCGCTGGTGAAGAACTCGCTAATGTATCACTTGCTTCTCGCTCATCTAGTACTGAACCCGTAAACGTCAAACAAAATGCGAATATTAATGCTGGCCTCTTGAGTAACAGAACCGTTTCAAATTATGAAAATTTATTTGGGCTGGCGAAAACAACTGAACCTACTTATCTACCAGATATTTTATCACCCGAGTTTAAAACACGCGATAGTAATGACTTAGAAGCTCAGCATACAAGTGGTTTATTAGGAGATGCTATAGGCAAACCAGAAACTCGTAAAATTGCCCAAGTGTTCACTAATGCTTTATCGGCATATTTAGAAGATCCTGATTCTTTTAGGCAAGTTTTAAGTGAAGTTAGACCTACTGAACCACCAATTCATTTGGAAGCTGATGGTGCTCCAGCTAGTTACAGAAAACCATCAGCTACAAAAAAGCCAGAATTCAAACATGGAACTGGAGCCACATATCTTCCAAAACCAACTACAACTTCAATAGCACCACCAACGGCTACAACAAATAATGATGAATTAGAAGTTTTGGACTTCTCAGATGTTTCATTAAACAACAAAAATCGTGCTAAACTCAAGCCTACAACGGAGTATAATTTAGGAGGGCGTATTACTAGCAATGCAGTAAAAAATAAACCTGTTTCTAGATTTAGCTTTGGTCTTGAAAATTCTGAAGAAAAATTAAATAAGAAATTAACTACAACTACGGAAGCAAACGATATTGCAGTTGAAATTAATAAAGAGTTAAAATTATCAACAACTAGACCGATTCCATTATCATTTGATTTAATTGCCCCAGAAATAAATACGGCGAGTACGACCAATCAACCTGAAATATCAACAACTTTATCCGACAATTTGTTGTTCCCTGTAGGTCCAAAAGGCGGTAAAGGTAGTTATAATTCAAAGTTTATTTATTTTATTCTATAGTATATAAATAAAATATTAAATATTTTTAGGAAAAGCAAGTATCCCTTCTCTTAGCGCGGAACTTCTACCGCCAGGTATATCTGAAGATGATGAGGACATGTTACAACGTGCTCAATCTCAATCATTTATTTCCTCTCGAAATGAGCTTACTAAAAATATTAAATCAGACAGAACAGGAAAATTAACCAAAAACAACTTGCATTCAGAGCCCCTAATAAATCGTGATCGAACGTCATCAGCTAGAAATAGAATTATTACAACTACAATTAAATCACCGGTAGAAAAACCCACAGAAAGCCCTTGGACAAAGATCACACAAAGTGTTTATTTAGATCCTTTAACAATTAATGATGGTTTAATGGAAAAATTCCGTACAACTACTGCGAGCCCATTCACATATTTACCAAAAAGTACAACATTTTCAAGTGCTACAACTACAGATATTAATCCAACACACATAGAATTAAGTTCAATGTTCTCTAATATTAAAGATCCAGAACCAACAATATTATCTAGAACAAGTAAAACATTTTCAGAGCTGTCAGATCTTTCTAGCGAATTATTACCGCCAACGGATGGTATGCAAAAAATTGCTATACAAATGTTTGGTGGCCTTAATGAAACGGCCGCTACACATTTGATGAATGTTATGAAAAAAGCCGAATCAAATTCAATGGCTAGACGTTTAATATTGTTGTTAATTCAAACTTGTGATGAAGATTATAGTAAAACAGTTGAACAATCACGAAAAGCTTTATTAAATGCATTAATTGGTATGGACAATGAATATACATTTGACGATGAAGTCGAAGTAATCAAATTGAAACCAAGACGTCAGAAGAGTGTTAATGTCTCTAATAGATCTGCTAATTTAATACAAACCACAACAAATAGAATACCAGTAACAACTTATAGAAGATCAGTAGAATCATCAACACCTTTTAATAAACTGTTTACAACAAGTACAATATTACCTCCAACAACTAGTACGACAGATTCAAATATATTTACAACAAGTACAATTAAGCCATCAGAAGAAACAACACGTTTTGAAATACGTGTTGCAGATCCTGATGAATTAACAACAACCACAACATATAGTCCTATAGAGACTAAAACTACATCTACAATTTTACCAGAAACTTCTACAGTTTTTGGTAAAAGAAGAACAACAACACAAACTATATATACAACAACAGATTCACCAGTAATTACAACTACTATAAAAAATAATTCCAGAGGTACTAGAGTTCAATATAGAATTAATGCAGTAGGTTCTACAGTAAGTCCTTCAATAAATGATCAAAAAACAAGACAAGCATCAAAAAGAAAGGCTAAAGATATAGAAAGTTCTCTTGGTAATACAAGTGATTTAAATAGCCATAAAAATTCTGATGAACGCGCTTTAGAATTATTAAAATCATTATATTCATTAGCATCTAAATTTGGAAGACGATAGACTGGAACTAATTGCTTTTTTTATATATTTATATAAAAAAATTAATTAAAATAATATTATATATATACATGCATACATAATGTGTAAGAGAAAAACAAGAAATTACTTAAACTTTATATTTTTTTTGTTCTTTTTTAATTTGAAATTTTCACATTTTTGAAAAGAAAAAATTATGAAACGCTTAAATAAAATTTAGATTAATTATTCGAAGTCAACCGATTTTAGTTAGACACCAGTTTTAATCGCACATATGAATCTTTCATAAAAAAAATCTTACTCCCTATCTATAACATCTCGAAAAGCGCAGGGTTATTCATTTTAAAGTTATTATTAAAAAAAATTTTTAACAATATTAAAATTTCAAAAACCATTTTTCTATCAAAAATTTATAGCTAAACAAAACTATTTCGATTAAAAAAGCTTTATTATTTTAACTGGCAACTGATTTACTTACATTCAATTAATAAATTTTGAAAGCGTTTTAATTATTCAAAAATTATGAAAGTTACCTTAAATGTATGTATATATATATAAATACTTTTTGATTTTGATATTTCATTAATTATACATTTTATATTAAATACTGAGAAAATATTTGAAAAACTCATTAAAATTATGTTAAAAAGCAGCTATTCACAAACCTTAATTAAGATTGACTATTTTTTGAACAAGTTTTGCTAATTATTTTAATTCACCAAAATGAAATACTATTTCAATTTTTCTCATTTTATGGAAGAAATTCTAAAGTTATTTTAAAAAACTAAATAAAAATATCGAAATATTAACGAAAAAGTTAATTGGGAACAAATTTCAAATTCGTTCTAATCGAATTCAATGGCAGCACTTTAAAACATTTTCTTAAATTTTATCCAAAATTTTTTATTATTCATTTAAAATAATAAGTTTCACTAAGCCTAATAGACAAAAATTTACATTCCATAATATTCTCTTAAAAATTTCTTACAATTCGTCTATATAACACCTAGATAAACATAAGCTGCTTTTATACAAACATTTGCAAAAATTTAAAATGTATAATGTGATTTTAATTTCATACTTTTCATTTTATTACTAATTTATAAAATAAATTAATTAATAAGTAAAAAAAGAAACAAAGTATTTGAAACTCCAAAAGAAAATTCAAAATTTAAATTAAAAATTTAAAAATTATATTAAAGAGTAAAAAACAAAAAAAAAAATTCTTCCTTTGTAATATTAAAAAAAAAATTATTTTAATTCTTTTACTCAAATTCATTAATATTTTACTATTTAAAATTATAGTCAAAATACTATCATAAATAAAAATAAATATTAAAATTAAATAATATTAAAAAATTAATTTGAGAAAAAATTGAGAAAATTTAAAAACAAAAAATTTTTTAAAAATTAAGTTTTTGAAATAAAAAATAAAAAAATTAATTATCCTATTATTATTATAATTACATAAAAATGCGTATTATAAATTAAAGCCATTTTTTTTTAAATTCATTTTATTTTTTAAGTTACCTTATAATTAAATATACAATATTATTATTTTTTAAAACTTTAATCTTCTACTTTGCTATTTTTAAGTTTATTAATTACAAATTGTTTATCATTCTTTAAAATTTAATTAATTCTTAATAACCCAATTAAAGTTAATCGGAAATTTATTAATTTTTTAATTTCTTTATTAATTACTTTTTTTTTAATTATTATCATTGTACTAAATACATTATGAAAATATTTAAACATTACAAATTATCATTTAAAATTAAATTTTTTACATTCATCTAATTCATTAGCACGTTTACTTTTAATTTACATTTTGGTAAAAAATAATCATATTTTATTAAATAAATTTTCTAATTAAATTTTAGTAAACACCTATTTCTATATTTATATAATTTATAAATTAATTTTTACAAAAGAGTTTTAAGTAAATTTTTCTCATTTCTTAAGCAGAATTTTCTTATTTTTTAATTACATATATTTTTGAGTTTTATTTTATTTTACTTGTTTGTACACTTGTTAAGTCGCCTCGCATATTGTACTTCATTTTTAATTTTTTTTTTCTTTTTATTTTCTTAAAATTTCGATGTGCATTTTTATTATTTAAAGAAAAATTACATACTATTTTATTTTGTAAATATCCGATTGCTTTATCTTAAATGAAATTTTATTCTGTTTTAGTAATTTAGTGAAATCAAACTTAGTAAAATCAAAATTTTTATTTCAATTATCGGACTAATAAACTTATCCGTACAACTGTAAATTCAGTAAAAGGTTTTACTATCAAACCCTTATAAATTCAAAGCACAATTAACTTAAATCACGTTGTAATTTTATTCGATAAAATAATGTAAAATTTATATACTGCAGTTTTTCAAGTAAAAAAGCACTCGTAAATTACGAATGTACAAAATTTTTTACAAATTAAACTATTTGTAATTGTACTAGTGCCACTCAACCTCAAAATTTCAACCTCCTCTTTAATAATCATACTATATTTACACCATTTAATACAATTTCATATTTTATATTTTTTTTTTCTTTATTATTTTATCATTATTTTTTAATTTTTTAGATTTAATTATTTAGTTATAAATTGAATTTTTATTAATTATTTGTATAGTAATAATAATATTCATATAATGTACATATATATATGTATATATTTATATATACATACTTAATAATTTGTATTCGTGTACAAGTCTAAAGTTATTTTATCAAAAAGCAATTTGGACACTAATATTGTAATATTCTAAAAGAAAAAATTATTTAAAAATTATCTTAAAATTATTTTAAATTAATTAAGGTAAAAAGTTTTAGCAAAAATTTTATGAAATTGAATTTGTTTTCGTCCATAAAGGAAAATTGTATAAGAGTTTAGAATATTAAAAAATGCTACTGTTTTCGAATATTTATAAAAATAAAAATATTTTGTAAAATACAATTAATAAACTGAATAAACTTATATAATATATTATTTTTTTTATTATGTATAATATATATATATATATATGTATGTATAAATATGTAAAAAAAAAACAAAATGTTAATATTGTACTTTTATGTAAATAAATTTTTTTTAAATATTAAAACAAATTATTTAAATTTATTTTTAATTAGCTAAATTTTACCCCTAGCCATCTTTGCATTCTAAAAGAGTTGATGATTTTATTATTTTCCTGAACGTTTAGATAAAATTATAAGTTCTCAAGATGTAAAAATATACCGATATTGTCAAAGACTTGATTTTATTAGGATTGTCGTATTGATAATAATATTTTATACTATTATTTTTTGTACCCGTTGCTAAAGTTTATATCCTAATTTTTATTATAGTTTGACTTTATGTATATCATTTTATTTGTTACTATGTGCAAAATTTGAAGAATTCGGGATAGTAATTTTCGTTTCAAAACATTTTAAAATAAAGGAAATCGTGAAATTTCTCATAATTCGTAAAGCCTAATTGTCTTGAACTCTTCAATCAATGTTTTTACCCATTTTAACTCAAAAAAAAAAAAATTCTATCCAACAAAATCATTTAATGAGCTTGCTTAACTATGAAATTTTTATTAAAACCAAGCTTAAAGAAGTTGAATATTAATTGTTGTTAATTTTTTCGAGAATCGAAACAATATATTTTTTTTGCATAATTTTCGGACTAAATTTTATTGAATACTTTTATAAAAATATTGATTAGTTCAAAATAACCGGTTGCATTAGACTAAATAAAAATTGCATATATTCAGGATAGCGTGATTAATATTACGATAAAAACCGATTTCCGTTACAAATGCACATATTATGCTTAATGTGTTTTCTATTAAATGCTTGGATTATATAGGTAAACTATAATTTTCGATTCAGAGGACTATTCGATATTGAATTCAATAGTTTCATATATATTATCGTATTTTTTAATAAATTTAGATAAAAAATAAAAACATAATTATAGGATACAAAAAAAAAATTGGTTTGTGTTTATAACATTTAAATTTTGTTTTGAAATTTTCACGATAGAATTACATAAATTTTTAATGCTTTGATAGGATTTGTATACCATAATAAATTCAAAAATGTCAGCAAAATTCTATTCAAAATTGATAATAATTTTACTTAATAATTATAATAAACCTAATTTATACTAATATAAATTGCACATTATTAATTTTACTGTTCAATATACATAAATGCACACATATGAATCGTTAAAATTAAAATCAAATGAATTGTGTGAATTTTAAAGCAAACCTACAAATTAACTTAAAACAAAACCTTAAAAGTTTTAATGAAAAACACAATAGTTTGTTTTATTTATTCACTAACATTTAAAAGCTTAAATGATTTTAAAATTTTAATAGGCTATGCGCTTCTTGGAAACGAACTCAAATTTTGATATTAAATTTTGGTAAAAATAACATAATTTTTCTGATAATGCATAGTTCACGCTGATTTTGACGGTTCACGATTCCATTACAATACATCTAACAAGATAAACAATAAATCGAAATAACAAAATTGTTTTTATAAAATCTCATTAAAGATTTTAAACTAGGTATTTATAGAATGTGCGCCTTGCACCGTGCTTAAATACCGTGATTTATTAGAATAGTTATTATAATAACCCTTTATTACAAAAATTTTAGATCTAACTAAAATGTAATAATATCCAGGAGCAGTTACTCAATTGTATATCACATATCAATATCACAGTATTTATCAATAATAATTGTGGTTCCAAATTAGGTACAGTGAAAAATTAGCTCAAAAATATTATGGATAAATCAAAGCTACAGCCAAAATAATATTTACTAGAGCTAAAAATAATGGGCGTATTTCGTTCTATCACTCTCATCTTTTAACTGTTTCTTCTTGAAACAGGCTGATTCTATTCGTGTTTATACAAATTTTCCTAAAACATATTATTTTAATTTACTTTAATTTGCTTGCACCTCAATTCTTTTATGTGTTAGAATGTTGAATGAATTTTGAGTGTTAGAATATGG